TTTTGTAGTAAATAATAATTATGGGTTTTGAGATAAGCCTTATGATGTCAAGTAAATATTTTTGTAGTAATCAACTGAAGAAGGTGCCGGTGGGGTAAAAATCAAGCGACCAAAGCAATATGCTAGAATTTATAAAATATATATTTTCAAATCAGTCAGTTTACTTGTCTCGTTTTTTCTCTTTCTTTTTAAAAAGTAAAGAGTGATTGAAGATAACTTTATTCTCGTATCTATTATTATGGTTCAGAATAATTTTTATAATTAATCCATTGTTACAAGTCCAACACTTTGTTTAGATTGATTCATAAGTGTTGTTCTTTTCCAGTTTCCTGTGTTTATCAAGTGTGTAACATGAAAAAATGCGTGTGTTAATGGTAAAATTTTTACATAAAATACTTTAAAAATGTGGATAAATATACATATAAGAAGTGCAATAAATTATTATCGTGTTGTGTTATCTTATGTGTTTAAAAAAAAAGAGTTCGCTAATGACATTTTAATATTGAAACTAAATATGACTGTACATTTTTACTATGTCTATAAGTTACAGAAACAGAGCCGTTAACAACCTTGCATTATATAAGTTTATATATGTCTTTAAGCCTATTCTTAAAATTATAAACTATGCTGCTGCATATATCATTGCAAAAGAAGCCTTAGACAGGACTCAAATATCTTTTTCTAGGCATTTCACCAGTTGCAACATGGGAAAAAACGAGAAAATATCATGGCAGGTGCAATAACCTAAATGTACTTTACATAAAGAAGGTTTGTTCAGTTTCTTTTTATATCATTAATAGTTTCTTAATCAAAAGATAGAAAGTTACCCACCTTTTGTTAGTTTCTTTTTATATCATTAATAGTTTCTTAATCAAAAGATAGAAAGTTACCCACCTTTTGTTTCATTATCCACAAAATTTTAACCAACATTTCATTTGCTATAAAAATAAACTACCTTAGTATGATTGCCGTCAAGAAATACATTCACTTCTGTTTCTCCAACTCCCGTTGATATTGCTGGTGCGGAAAAGACATCTAAAACCCCTTCTTTTCCTTGGGAATGACCGTCAATCAGATCATCTGACGTGCCGGTCTCAACAAACATCTTCAATCCGTCAGATGCCACGCCCCCTAGCGTCCACAGACTGAAATAATCGTTGTGCGCGCACCCTTGGAAGATATGATAACTTTATATTTTAAAATATCTTCATTCGCAAAGTTTATAGGCAGCATATGAACCCTACCTCTCTGTAATACAACGTTTTAATACAAAAGTGATTTTACATTTATTTCATATTGGTTACATTTTTTATAATTTTTGTTTTATAAAGGAATATAATATTAAGTATGTAAACTGAGGAGTTATTAAATTAAGTACATTTTAAATTAAGCTTTCTACCTTATAACGCTATGTTACCAACACACTGATCTCTGTATTTAGATTGGCTGCTACGTACCATTGCTTGAAGAAAAAATGCCGCCATCTTGCTGCCCCCATAAAACAAAAACTGTAGAATGGTGCATCATACGTTGTGTGTGTTTTTTATTGTTATTTTTATTGTTGTCGAATTTTAGCATTCGTTGTGTGTACGAAGATTGTAGTTTTATTTTGTATGGAAGCAATTTTAATTCTATCTTGTCTACACATAAATGAACTGAAAGACCGTTCGTTACCGTGATAAACAATTTAGCGTTTACAAATGAACCATTATATGTTTTTGTGTTTTTATTTTTAACTTAAATGTGTAAGTGCAGCTTGTATATGAAATGTGATAGTAATACATAATAATTCAGCAACCTTACACATCAAATTTTACAAGTTTATTGAATAAAGTTAAGATCTGTGATATATCTACATCTAAATGATAAATACGCTTTTTTTTTTTACGAAGTAATAAAATAGGCCTTAAATAATATAAATGTTCATTTTGTAAAAGAAAGAAAACACTGTATTACAGTACTTGCTTTGGGGTTGTAGCAGGGTACACAATTGTTTTGAATTATGGGTCCACAAGAATTATGTAAAAATTTACTTACTTCAACTTAATAAAAAAGTGATTTTTTTCCATTATAATATTTGAAAAAATCTATGCCTATAAATGAAAATTTAAATACACTTTTTATGATACAAATTTGTAATACAAAACAAAAATGTTTTACAAATTGTTAACGATTTGAAATACTGAATAATGATGCATTGGGGGAATTAGTGAAAGCACACTTATAAAAGAAAAGCTACTGGTGCTAAAAACAAATCAGCTTCGACAACTCTCTCCTTATCGTTTGTCCTGTTAATTTCTCATTGAACTGTTTAACTAGATAGTGAAGTCTTATCATTGAACTGTTTACCTAGATAGTGAAGTCTTATCATTGAACTGTTTAACTAGATAGTGAAGTCTTATCATTGAACTGTTTAACTAGATAGTGAAGTCTTATCTTTGAACTGTTTACCTAGATAGTGAAGTCTTATCTTTGAACTGTTTACCTAGATAGTGAAGTCTTATCATTGAACTGTTTACCTAGATAGTGAAGTCTTATCTTAGGAAATAAATGAGAAACAATTTTCACCAGAAGATGTGAATGATTATTGATAATATTTGTATTGAACATGTGATCAATAAGTTTTGAAAACAAATTCACACGTGAGAGATTGTAGAAAAAAAACGTGTTACAAACATATGTATAGATCATTGTACAGCACTTCACTGGTCAGGTTTAGGCATACCAGAAGGTAACAAACTGAGAAAGCTCATTGTTAACAGACACGATTAAGATAAAAAAATACAAGAAAATATATGAATTTATGACACCCTAAGCAATATTGGTGTGTGTGTTAAAAAAGAAGTGGCTAATATGGAACTTAAAGCAAGACATATAATGTCAATACTGAGACCAAGACTAAGGTCTCGAGATATTGTCAAGACTTCCAATCATTTGTTTACAGCAATTATATGGAAAAAGTTTAAAGCAGAGCGAATTTGCAGATACAATAACAGTTTAGTCAAACAAACACAAATTTCATTTACCACTAATATCAGTTCTACAAACTGTATGTCTTGTTTATTTACATATATCATAAGAGGCTATCATACTAGTCTGCTACTAAACCACTACTCACCAATAACTTTAGACCATTGAGCGTGTGGTCTCCAGTGAGGATACTGTTTGGGGAAACTTTTTACAGACCAAAACGTTTGCATTGTGACTCTGTATAAAGCTAGTTCGTCTCGCGAGCACCAGGTAGAGCTAGACGAAGTCCCTGCTAGTACAGTTACAACTAACAATGTTATATAATAGATTAGACCCTGAAACTGTTTCAAGGATATAAAACACATTTTTTAAAGTTTTAGTCGTTTTTGCAAAACTCGATATCTTTCTCAACAAATTCTCAAAGTTCGACCTTTAAGAAGCTATAACAGTTTTACCCAACTCTAACGTTATAGAAACCCTTATGAAATTGTGGTAAAGTGCTTACTAAGTTAAAGAAGTGCCATAAGTCTGTGATTTTAAATTGCAAGTGCTTTATATTTTACTCACATTTATACAAACCGCGTCAAAGAACAATCCTGCCATCCTATTGGGTAAAAGAAGTAGCGGCAAGAGTCACGTGATAAGATTTCTGCTACCTGATACTCGTTCAGGCACGAGTCCAATCTGATAAAATGCTTTTTCAAGAGGGATCTGCTAGTGTTATTATTAGCACGTTTGAATATTTCTATATTAATTTAAACTAAGTTTAATGTGAAATGCAAATTAACAAAAAAAAGAATCATGTTATAAAGCTAAAACGTTATTTGTCATATATTTCATTCGTAAGGATGTTTAATGTACCTAGTGTCTATTTGTTTTAGCATAAAGCTACGTAATAGGCTAGCTATGCTGTGTCCGCTGCATGGATCGAACCCCGAATTATACTGTTCTAAGCCTTTAAACTTACCCCTAACTTACCAGTGGACAGACAGTTATTGAAAAGCGTAATGTAAAGAACATGTCCCATCTTTTATAATGTGCTTTCATACATATACATATAGGAATTTGTAAGTGAATTTGATACAAATAGCAACCGTTACATTACTATCTTTGATTCTAACTTCTAGCAACCGTTACATTACTATCTTTGATTCTAACTTCTTGCAACCGTTACATTACTATCTTCGTTTCTAACTTCTAGCAACCGTTACATTACTATCTTTGTTTCTAACCTTTAGCAACCGTTACATTACTATCTTTGATTCTAACTTCTAGCAACCGTTACATTACTATCAAATTTGTAGCGAGACTTTAGTCTATATCGTTATCCTCATGGACAAATTTCCCTTCACCACAAATTATGATATTAGCAAAATCTTAAACTTTAAAACCAATTTCACATCTTTGTTTTTTTCCATCTAATTTCATATCATTGTTATCTCTACGACCAGTTTCTCATAATAGATCTTTAGTTATAACCAAAAGACAAAACAAGACAAACAAAAAAGGATATGGAACACAAGAGATATACTTATTGTTAATTATGTAAATCGAATATTCGTTTCTAACTTCTAGCAACCGTTACATTACTATCTTTGATTCTAACTTCTAGCAACCGTTACATTACTATCTTTGATTCTAACTTTTAGCAACCGTTACATTACTATCTTTGTTTCTAACTTTTAGCAACCGTTACATTACTATCTTTGATTCTAATTTCTTGCAACCGTTACATTACTATCTTTGTTTCTAACTTTGGATAGTAATGTAACGGTTGCTAGAAGTTAGAATCGAAGATAGTAATGTAACGGTTGCTAGAAGTTAGAATCAAATATAGTAATGTAACGGTTGCTAGAAGTTAGAATCAAATATAGTAATTTAACGGTTGCTAGAAGTTAGAATCAAATATAGTAATGTAACGGTTGCTAGAAGTTAGAATCAAATATAGTATTGTACCGTTGCTAGAAGTTAGAATCAAAGATAGTAATGTAACGGTTGCTAGAAGTTAGAATCAAATATAGTAATGTAACCGTTGCTAGAAGTTAGAATCAAAGATAGTAATGTAACGGTTGCTAGAAGTTAGAAACGAAGATAGTAATGTAACGGTTGCTAGAAGTTAGAAACAAAGATAGTAATGTAACGGTTGCTAGAAGTTAGAAACAAAGATAGTAATGTATTAAAGACGAGAAGGTAGTTGTAAAGATAATTATGTACAAAGTTGAGGTGTAATTTAGGTAAGATATATTGATAGAAATAAGGTGGTTATAATAAAACATAATTATATTAATGTAAAGGTATTGGAAAACAAAGGAACTCGTTGAAAAATAAAACGTTGTTGTGGTAAAATGCTGGTTGTTAGATAATGATGTGAACTGGTTTAAAACTAATTGCATAAGTATTGCTAGTTTAGCGACGTTGAGAAAAACGTTTAATGTGAAAGTAACTCTAACTGAATTAGAAATTAGGTAAAGTTTATTTCCTAGTTGTGATGAAAAACAGGAAAGTAAATTCAGTAATTTAGTAAAATTAACATTTTGTAATCACATTATCTTAAAAACGATTGAAATATAAATTAATATTTTCTACCATTCATATTTAAGCATAAAAATATTTCAAGTAAACTCAGAGAATATAATCCTAAAAAATTACAATTCCGTACCTGAAACTAAACATACTGTGGGCACTGTCCCAGTATGTCATCATAGGGGGAAAAGTTGCATTCAAAATAGCAGTTGAATTCCAGAGAACGTACAATCTCGTGACGGTGAGGACAAGTTTGTATGTGGCGTTAACTTATCACTTTAGTAAAAAACAAAAGATGAGTGAATTATTAATGAAGATAAAGGGGAGTTCCTAGATATTTATTTAGCTTTGGCTTTGAGGACTTTACATTGGGTAAACCGGAAAAGAAATGAACCTCAGACTTAAGAAACATCTTAAAGGACCCTCTCATGTTTTGAACATCTTAAAGAAACAAAACATTATCACTGAAAACAATGTTGAATATGAAGAGAACCAGACATAAACAAAATAAAAATAGCTGAAGTATTATTGATAAAGTCATCTAAACCAAAACAAAAGAAGTATTCAGGGACTTCCCCTTATCTATACTTTTATTTTATCCTCCTCATTTTACCGAAAACACTAAATTAACACCACCTACAAACCTTGTTTTTACCATCATGACTCTGTGACGTTCTCTGAAATTCAACTGTCGTTTTTGAATGCAACGTTTAGTTGATGACGACTCGATAATATGGGTCGAAACGTTGTAATCATTATAATCAGAACCCTCTTACTGTAAAAGTTGCTGTTACTGTATTCTTGAATTAATTATTCAGTTCACTAGGTTTCTCACTAAACATTAATTTCTCTGACATTGTTTCTTGGTTATATTTGTATTTTTGAATTAATTATTCAGTTCACTAGGTCTCTCACTAAACATTAATTTCTCTGACATTGTTTCTTGGTTATATTTGTATTTTTGAATTAATTATTCAGTTCACTAGGTTTCTCACTAAACATTAATTT